TATGTTCGCCGTCACGCAATATTTCAGTCAATTACCTATCTTAGTTTTAGTTCATCCTCTATGTTTTTTTGAAGTGAAACTTCTTTACGGACGGGGTGTAAATGGAAAAATCCTATAGAAAAGATAAAACGGAAATGCGTCATGAGCGTCACACGATTATATGTGTGTGTGTGTGTGTGTGTGTGTGTATGTGTGTGGGTGTGTGTGTGTGTGTGAAATATTTGCGATATTTACGCAACTCTTCCCGACGAGCATGAAAGTTAGAGAGCAACTCGGCGAAGGCTGAAACGCTACGAGCGTGACGATCGTCACACGCTACAATCTAAAAGCCTCGCTAAAACTCGAGAAGGCTGTACTGATTTATCTTATCTTGGTCTTGAAATGTTCGTGGAGGTCTAGGGAAGGTTTTAAAGGTGAGAAAAACATGGAAATATTGCGAGGAAGATAGTTTAATTTTTCCATATAAACTGTTCTATCTTCTTTCCTGTCAAATATTTGACGTTCGTCCCTTTTGGTACGGTAGACTCGGGTCCGTCGAAGTACGCGGGGTCAACTCGTATATCTTTATATATATAATTCTTCTGTGAGTGTGTATGTCACTGAACTTCTCTTAAACGACTGGACCGATTTTGACGAAATTTTTTGTGTGTGTTCAAGGGGACCTGAGAATGGTTTAGATTCACAATTTTGTCCGCTGGACAACCCCTATTTTTTTAGGGCGGTACGAAGTTCGCTGGGTCAGCTAGTAATATATATAGAGCTGACACAACAAATTGGATATAATACTTGCAAAATCGAGGCTAGGTTCTCGACGATTTCCTCCTTTAAAATTAGATATATGTGTATTAATTTTACCCATAGAATAATAAGTAGTTATACTAGGCCTCTAAATTTTTTGCAAATGTTTATTGAATCTACTCATTAATCGTCTTTATTGGTGATAAAAAATTGTTTATTTTTGGCATTTTTGAGGGTTTCTAGTTGCTTTGAAATACAAGTTATCGAAAGAAGGAAGACATAGGAGCACAGAATGAGTAAAATTGTACATTATGTATGAAAATCATTTCTTTAGTGATAAAATCCAAAGAGGAATCAGTCGAGAATGTTTGTATGGAAAAAACATGGCCCGCCTCCCCTTTTTATGTTCGTACAGCTGGGGCACAGGCCTTCCCTATGGATGGAATAGGGAGATAGGGCCATGACCCACTACGCGGACCCAGTGCGTATTGGTGGGTGCTAACGACTGCAGATGAAGCCGTGACCAACGGCTAAACGTGCCTTCCGAAGCATCTTCCATGCTTCGGTTCGAGATAGTAATTTTTTGATCACCCATCCAATCGATCTCTGCGGAAGTTGCTGAACTGTGACGATCGCAGCAACGGTAAGGAAATTATTATGTTGTAGGTAATACTAAATTAATTAATTGTAAAATTATGATGAAATAATAGAAATTTACTAGTCTTTGATTTATTCCTTTGTATTCATCTTTCTTCCTATCTGGGTGCCAAAGGACAATGTTAAAATTGGCCTAAGAACCAACACCAATTTGACATTTATGATAATTCTTAGTATATTTTTTGCGATAATTATCAGTATTTAGATTGTGACGGACACTTCCAGTTAAGTAAGCTAAATTAAAAAGTTAAAAAATAATCTGAAACAATAAATACCATTTTATGTGTATAATCTTAAAATTTTATGTGGCATCGCTGCAAACAAAACACTCTTCCTTCCTAATGCCGGCACTTCACTTGGCTATTCGTATTTGCTATTTTAAAACATGACATCAGTCTGTCCTTTTCATTCCTTATTAAGCATGACAAGGACAAACTGTTGTCAAGTGAAGGGCCGGCATAAAATTGTTAATCTGTGGTTGTGGTGCATGCAATTTGCATTTGTAGTAATCTGTGGCATTCGTGCATTCCAAAGAGTAGTTTAATATACCGAAAAGTGCATTCTCGTTTCGGATTACCTGTTGTGTGTGTTTATTTGCGATTGTTTTTCCTTTAATTTAACTATTTCGGCTATCTAATGTGCCATCGATGTTACCAAAGAGCAGAGCTCTCATTACCAAGTGCTAGTGAACCTGTCCCATAACATCCTGAGAGGATCATACTGCCAAATTATTCAAGAACACCTGATACACATTCACGCTGCATATTTACACAATAAACATGTGATATACAAATAAATACAATAAACAATATGATACAATTATGTGAAAAATAGTCATTAAATAAGAAGCAAAACTACAGTTTTTATTTTATTCATGATTCCTACCTAACCAAGTTTTTCCTAATAGTTATTCTTTAAAATCGCACCGAATAAAATGAATTAGTTGTAATATTAATTCACTTCATACTGAGTTCATACTAAATTCATAGGTTGAACTATGTTTCATTGAATATTAAACATAACCTCAAAAAAAAGTTAGTTTTCCTAATAATTTAAGTTCTCAGAAGTGTCCGTCAATAATCTTTGTTTTTACAGTCATTTACTTACGATTTTGAACCTAGAAAATAATATTTCATGATTGTTGGTTCTTAGGCTAACTATGTATGGACGCTGAACAATGTCCTTTGAACTTTCTAAGCCTTCTGGTACAGGGTTATAGTTTTGATCTATAGATGATAAATATGTCGATTTTGGTCGTTAATATCTAAATTACCGTTTAAGGTGTGTTTGTCAAATTTGACATGTTTATATGTAATAGGTTTTGAATTATGACAGGGTCAAAAGTGGCTCCAAATGGTTCGTGTAATATTACACACGGTTCTGCTCGCCAGTTCTGTTAGCTTGAACTTGGCTTGACTCGATGCCGCGTATCCATATTATATTTACTTTATTTAAAGTTATGTAAAATTATAGGTACTTACATTACCGCATCACCAACTCCTAAACCCTATCCCCTTATTAATAAACGAAGGCTAAGCTTGGATTAGTTACTCTATGTTTTGTCGCTGTTCATTGAATGGCAAATGGCACTTGAGTGATATGAACAAAACACGGCGTAACTACTCTAAGCTTCATCATCATCAACCCATGTTCGTCCACTGCTGGACATGGGTCTTCCCTTATGCACGCCACTGCTTCCGATTTTGTGCTACTCTCATCCAGCCCACTTCAGCCAGCCTACGAATATCATCATCCCATCTTGTCTCAGGGCGTCCTACACTACGTTTACCGAGTCGTGGTCTCCACTCAAGAACTTTCCGGCTCCAACAGCCATCAGTTCTGCGGCTAATGTATTAATAGGTGGGTAAATGCCTTCTAGTTTCATGGGGAGCAACAAACTTTTTTGTCCATATAGGAAGAAACTAACAAAACCATTTTATCTAGAAAAACGTTGTAGGTATTTCTACATTAGTGGAGGTTTTTGGAGGTCCAACCTCCTTTGGTTGTGGTTGATTTGTGGTTTTTGTTTTTCTTCATCCAATGTTTGAGAAATTCAATGAGCAGCACACGTAAGGTAGCCAGATCGAGAAGACTTAATACCTGGATACAACTTTGAATTCTTTTTTGGAGAATTACAACCCCCTTCGCACTCCTCCCATCACCGAACGACTCCTGCAAACAAAAAATAAATGAGGAAGGTGCAGTCAGTGCACGAGCCTATGGAACAAGGCAAACGGTATGTGTATCGTGATGTTCTTTTGGTGGAAGATTTCGTAATTTATCGGGAGTTGGGAGATCGGATAATATGTCGGGGGAACCAGTCAATTCCCGACCATCTGACAACCTTTAGCACGGGGAAAGCGTATTCTGTCTGTAATCGTGGAGGTTAAGCAGCTTTTGCAATACCCGGGCATAGGATGAGTGACTAAAAATTAACGCATGCGAATACCTACGTGGTTCGAAAGGCACGTTAAGCCGTTGATCTCCGCCGTCTGCTGTAGTCGGGTGATGATGATGAACCATTGGGGTTTATAGCTGTTAATATTTAGCTTTAGATTAGAGCAATTTCTGTGGTGCGAGGACATAATTAGTAACTGATTATTCATGTTACTATTTTGGGAAGTTCTCTCCGTACGTAAAATGTTCATCTTAAATGCTGTTCGTCGCAACACATAAGGTCTTACATACATTCATAATAAGTATATTAAAAAAATAAATGAAGAAATGATATAATACGTTCTGTGATTGGTTGTAGATTCCTAGGTGAATACTGTAGATTATTTATTAGCTCTGCGTGATCTGAATTGCACTTAGTTGTATCTTAGCCCCTATCCCAATTTTCTGTAATGGGTTTTCCAACGTGAACCTGCTGTACTTGTACTATTATGCATTCTGTGATTTAAGTTAAATATAATACAATATTTATGTCTGAAATGCTCGTCTGTTCAGAGGTGGACGCTAATGTTTGCGGCATAGTCCTCGACTGCTGTGAATGTTAACGCTATGTTTAAGTAAAAATGTGTCATATTTCATTATTAAAGTTTATTATTATTTGAGAGAAACTTTTAAACAATAAGACCCACATAACGACTCCCAGAAATTGGGTGCATAATTTTATGCTAGTTTATGGAAATCGTTTTTTTACTATTATCATCTCGTACGATATTTTATCTACAGGTACGTTAAGTAACCGAAGAAAAGTTTAGCAAATAGGGATGATTTACTTTTTTTTCTTCGTCTATTATGTAAATTAATTATCAAACAGTATTGGACACGTATTTGTTGTTTATTCACATAATCAAAACATTACAGAGATATTATATTGTTTTAAAATATCATATGAAGGATGAACATCTTGGTACAATTTTTACTTAAAAGTAACGTCACAAGCCTCCACTCACAAACTTTGACGCGCTTTATCTTTGTAACTTTTTGGTTGATTGACAAAAGCAAAAATACGTGTCCATAATTTTTTGATAATCTAACTGACAGACTAAACAGAGTTACATTTAATTTACCCCGTCATCATCCCTCTTTTAGAATTACTCGGTAATGAAACTCATTAAGTATTAAAAAACAAGGTTAAAATAAAAGAAATAAATAATTCTCTATGTCATTTAATACTTCTAATAAAGATACGTATTTACATAAAATTGTCTACATTTATACAATAAACTCAAGTTTATCCAAGCAATAAATAGATAGTGCCAGCAACTGTTTAACAATATATATATAACAGTCATATATAGACCTCTACATAGATTCTTTAGTGCCCATCTTATCAAACCTACTTTATGGTGTCAATTATCGTAAACTTTACGGGCTCATTTTAATTACCCATACGACGTTAAAACTGCAGTCAGAATATTTTGATTTACAGTCATTCCATTTCAACACAACATGAGCTGGTACTCATTGGATTAGGAACTTTTATTTGCATTTAGGCCTCATTGTTTAATCTATAGTTAATTTTGACTGTAGTTAAATCCTATAGAAAAAAAGAACCATCTATCAAAATTTTACACATTTACTATGTATTTGACGTAACATTAACAGTCGATTAAACAAAACGGCCTTAGGCGTACTAATTATAGATGTTAATACTTTGGTATTTTAATCTACAGCTCTCAATGTATTTATCTATAAAAATTATTAAGATTTAAAACAGAACTACAAAAAAGAGGCAAACTTCTTGAAAAAACATCGTATCAAAAAACCGGCCAAATGCGTGTCGTGCCACGCGCGGTGTAGGGTTCCGTACCATAGTTGCTCGCTTGTCGTTACCACGATATATTTGAGTAGGAGTCTGCAGTTTCTTAAACGGAAATTAAAAAGCAATTAATATCTCAACTAAAATACCAAAATCAAAGTGAAACTGCGTCTCAAACCCAAATTCATATCTATATTTTTTAAACGTCTCGATAGAACGACTCAGTCGCCGTTGCCGTTGGTACTCGCGGTAGCTTTGTGGAACTAATCACATTTTATTGTGGTTCTTAAATTTTTTTTAGGAAATATTATTCAAAATTTTTATTGTACCATTTTGTCGGCTTGGTTGATATACATATCTCCAAGCAAAATCGGGGACGGACAGACAGACGGACATGACGAAACTATAAGGGTTCCTTGTCACGACTACGGAACCCTAAAAGAGTCTGAACTATTTTCGTATACTTAATGACAATATACAGACTTCCTAACAAAAATGACGGTACTACTCATAAATTGTAAACAGTAAATACATAATTTGCCTGTCTCGTGCTCTAATTTCAATTTAAATTATTAATTCGATGTTCTACTAAACAATATTTTATTGCAACTGTACGCATTACAGTACAAAATAACTTCTCCAATAAATATAATAGTACATTTTTGTGCATGAATTTAATTACTCATCCATCTTACTTACATTAATTAACAACTTAACAATCTACATATTTACATTAATTTACAAACAAACTGGAGTATTAGCACTCAGGATTATAATTTACATAATTATTCGGAACATCTAACGTTCAATAGGAATGAGCATTAATACTTTATGTAAATATTAATAAATTCGATGACTATATCAGCGATCATGTTTGGTGAGCTGTAGTGGCAAGTCATTGGCCGGCTGTGGTCGTCTGCCGGGACTCGGCGTTCGAGATCGAACTTTGTTTCTATGTTTCTCACTTTCATCGTCACTCTCATCGTGCACATTGATCTCCTCGTCAGAATCCGAATGTGATTCATAACCTCGCGCTAATTGAATTGACTGAGCTGCTAAAAGCGCGGCAGCGGCCGAATGCGGGACTAAAGCTTTAAAAGCGCTGTTTTCGAGCGCAGGGTGATGCTTGAACGCTTCACTCTCGAACTGTTGCTGCGACAATGCTTTCAGTGCGTTGCTATCGAACTGCTGGTGCGACAGTGCCTTCAGTGCGTTGGTGTCTTGGTGCGCGAGCGCTTTGAACGCGCTATTTTCGCCGCCCATCTGGGGGGTGTGGTACGGGAAGCGCGAAGGGGACGAAGAACGAGAACGGGAAGGGGAGTGGGGGAGGCGGTGCGGGGGCGAGCCGCCACCTCGCTTCAGGAGGTTCATGCGCTGATGGCGTCTCCACTTGGCTCGTCTGTTGGAAAACCAAACCTGTCAGTAACGGTAAATAAATGAGATTAGTATGTTGTTCTCACTGCGCTAACAAATTCATATATGTAAATTGGTGTGAAAACGATAGCTCTGATTCGATTAAGCCGTCGCTGGAGTGATATAAATAAAATATTATTAATTGGTTGTGGGTTTACGAACATCATAATCATTGACATTTTATTATGGTCGTTACCTGTACGCGCGCTTCCGATAGCGACGTTTTGGAGGCCAGTCGTTCTCTGGTAGAAACGCACGGGTAATGAGATTTCTCGAATTCCTTTTCTAATTCTTCGAGCTGGTCGGGGCTGAAGGTGGTTCTATTCCGCCGGAATTTTGGTTGTTCACCATCCAAGGATCCAGAGTCGTCGCCGTCAACATCTATTTGAAAGGAGACATAATATTATTCATGGATTGCAATTCAAAACATTAATAAAATGTGGCATTTTACTACATGTTCGCGACGAAAGTTAAATGAATTAAACATGTTTCTTGCTCCTTAAATAAGTTAATACGTTTATGACTTGAATATTTTTGAAACAATATCTTGCTTGTCATCGAACTTACCAATAAGTCCACGTCCAGACGACGATAGGAATCCTTGTTGAACGGCATCAGGGTGCGGTACACCGCTAGGAGGTGCTGGTACTCCGGGTGGGAGGGAGAGCGTTCCTGGGGGCCAGACGCCACCTCCGCCAGCCCAAGGGAAGGCTCCGTATGGAGGAGGAGCCGCATACAAGCCGTAACCAGCTGCCCTTGCAAATTCTGCCGCGGCTCTTTCGGCCGCACGATTCCTGAGTATCCGGTTGATTGACGACACGCTGGGTGCGGTTGCATTTGTGCAGACACCTGTAAACAATAATGAACATTAAGTATGTAAGGATCCATGAGGATACAAGTCCCCAACGAAATAAGTAGAACTAAAGTAGTTTTAGCTCGTTTAAGTCCCTGTCTGGGAAGTACCCTCTACGTTACAGAACAAAGAAATAACACTACCTTTTGGTGGTGCGATATTACTATCATTAAGTAAAGTTTCCAGGACAATACATTGTAGGTAATTGGTTTAAAATGTCTATAGTGGCACCTTTTTCTGCTGCATCAACTATCTACACAACCGACCCCGTGAACACTAGCATCAGGTGGGATTACTTGCTTGCAAAAAAAAAAAAAAAATGAATACAACATCATAAAAACTAATGTTGAAAAACAGACTTGTTATTTAAATATGTGTTACTCCAGAGTTCAGAGAAACGCGAGTAGAACGGCAGTTGCAAGCGCGCTCTGGCGCGTTAAAACCAATGCGTCATTGGTCGTTCAGACCGGCGCAATTATAACTTTTAATGCGTGCAGAGGATCGCGTGCGGGCGCAGCCTTGGAGAGCCATCCCATGTAATTTTCAGGAAACACTCCGGGTAAGTGCCATAATTTAATCATAGCCTGTCCGAGCGTAATTGTCGTAGAATTCGTTGCGGAGCTACTGAGCGAACGCACTCGACAATCTTGCTGGTTATGACGAACTCGCTTCTGAATTGCTCTCTGTGACGGAACTGGGTTAAAACTATTTCTGCTGTGAGATTATGATTGTATTGGAATTTTATTCTAATTTCTCAACGTATTGTTAGTCTGCGTGTAAATATTGTTTTCCATTTCCCACCCCCTTAAAGGACGACTTCCAAGATAAAAACCATTTACTTTTCTGAATATATATGTCAGTTTCTTTTCGTCTTTTCCATTTAATTTTGACTTTAATAGACTTATGATACCATATGTGCTAAGGAGATTGGCGCTGTATGCCGTAATACAGGCATTTTGCCTAGCTCGGCAGCAGATAAATATTTTTAGTATGTAGTTATGATAAAGATATTAGTACTGTTTTAGCCTTATAAGTTAAATTGTAAATCACCTCTTATTGCAAATAAAAATTATTATTATTATGACTATTTCCTTGCTCGGGACTCAAACTATATCCATTTCAAATTTCTTCAATCTAAATCGGTTTAGCGGTATAAGCGTAAACAGTTGTTGTTTGTAAGTTTGAAATTATGGACTAGTATGGATGGATACTATTTGAAGTCTTATCACTAAAGGTAGTCTTATTACTATTTATTTATTGTTAATACTGTAGGTAGGCAGAAATCTACTGTAAAAAACATATTTTCTGTCTCATAAATTACTCGTGTCATGGCTTAGTTTATATTTAACAGTATTTACTCAAAGTAGATCTATTCCGCTTACTCATTATTATTGAAACCTGCCATTTAGGTCGTGTCTATAGCGAACAATTATATGTAGGAACAATAATCCAAAGTAGGTAATTGCTTAATGAATGCTCTTAACTTGAGGTAGTAAAGAGTCGATTTCCAAGCTTGTTACACGAAATGACGCATTTATATAAGCGTACTAAAAATATACACCACGTCAATAGTTTGTTTTGTTTGTAGACTTCTAGGCAGATGATGGAATATATAGAGATATTTATCATAATAATGATATAGTATTTAAAGGTATGATTATTTATTGTGGAGGTTTTAATGTGGTCACTGTTGATAATGAAGCCGCATTGTCATGGCTCTGCGCTGGCGCGTCAAATAAAACGGACCTGTTATAATTTACTCAAAACACAAAGCCTTATACAGTATAATGGTAATGATCAGTTGCGGGCCTTCACTCATTGTTAGCATGTCGAAAGCACAAAAAGGTGCCTTCCACACAATTTGTTTGCTTCGTAATCGGCGCTTTGAGATGCAGCGTCGATAGATCAGCCTTCTGTTACAGACGCAACGTCAAAAATTTGATAAGGCAAGAATACTTCTAATGGTGACCAGTCATCACTTACCGACCGGTCTTTAATTATATTGAAGCGTTTGTTAAAAAGAAATAAAACCGTTAAAAATCTGTTAACGTTTTGTGGGAGCTCAGCAACGCGTCTACCCGCTGGTTAATCTACTTCGTTCGTACTATTCTCTTGAACAACTAAAAAAATCCTATGATCTTTAACAGAACAGTTAAATTGGTTTTTGTTTAGTAACAAGAAGTGACTATCAAACTTTTGATCGACACTGTTGCTTTGGTTCCCAATTCTTTGGCGTCGTGTTTTTAATTCACCCAAATTGAATCGATTTTGTAAACAGGATTCCACTTTGAACTTTTAGACGTGAAATGTCTGCGGTGAAAATTCAATTTTTTCAGTGAAATTGACTGAATTTTCATGAAGTTTGTGAAGTGAAATATAAAAATGTAATTGAGAACAGTTACTTGCGACCTCATTTAAATTATCGATCAAGCAATTAAGGGTGATCAATGGTTAGGTTCATTATTTGTTTAGAAAGAGATCATTATCCATCAACAGGTTGCAGGTGGGAATGCGATATCTATAATTGTTCTTTTAATGATTTGGGATCGAGTTCGGCTCCCTAGATGCCTAGTCACGGTCATGCAATTTGTCTAAAGTCGTTTAATCATGATTAGTCACAATGGGCTCCGCTTCTATTAAAAGGTTAGATGTTTTCAATAGAATGAGCTTGTTATGTACCTACAGTGTCTGCTATTGCGATCACTCTAAGCTTTTGTAGCATTTATGGTTCCGTATCCAAATTAATACAATACCGTCTTTGCAAATTTATTTAAGTAAATGTAACATTAAGACCGTGCTTCATTTATAAATTTGACTTCCAAATGATGATTATAAACATGAAGGAGATTTATACAAAGATGTCTTTTTACAACCATTGACTCGCACTTTATGTATTTTACATGTCAGATTAGAGAAAGCTGTAGAGTTATGAAATGAATGTATCTACTTCAAAAAGAGCATGGCTAACGATTGAAACTCATTTTATTATCATTTAGGTGTAGAAAGGTATTGGATGAAACGATAAACAGCTTCCCATTGGCCCTAATAAAGGGCAAATTGGTATAAAATGTTAATGTTTCTGCTCCATGTTGTTACCTGCCTAAAAGCGTGGCATGTCCGGAGATAAGACAATCCGGCGCCGTCTGCTATAGAGTGTTTAATCTGGTTAATTTATCGATAATTGACGGAAAACCTTTTTGTTTGTATTGCCGGAAAGTAACAGTAATTGTCACGCCTTTAAAGATTTACGCTCGTTTCTAAATTGAGACATTAACAGTCGGATCTCGTGCCTAATGGTTCGGAATGAATTTGTTCGTTTGTCTTACCGGACCGGTTCTACGTTAGAATCGGTTTGCCGCACTGATTATTTGTTTCAGTTGATGCTTTGATTTGTAATCCGACTTTTAAATAAATAATCGAGAGCTAACTTAAACTTTATATCTCTTATCACTGCAGTTTCAATTACGTACTAGCCAACACGTTTAATAACTTTAAAGTCATTGGGAATTTTGTAAAACCTGAGGTAATTACATCAGCGCTAAATTGTGTGCTCATTGATTTAGCTGTTTGCAATATCTAATGGCGGTAAAAAATGTATAAGCATCTGCTGCCTGGTCCGCGTGGAATTTTTTCTAGTTATATTTTCTGTAGATTTAAACATCAAGCAGTTACATGCTTTAAAAAAATAAACATTATTAATGTATAAGCATGTTAATCACTCAAATTTTCAGTTTCAGAGTTGATATAGTACTGGGTAGTAATTCAGTCATAAGCTCCATATTGGTAGTTAAGCACTTTTCCCGCTCGAATTGGAGCGCCTGTCTGAGGAAGTATACTCCACCTGTTCTGGTGTTGTGTTTCTGATATTTTTTTGTATCACAAGCGTTTATAGACTATGGTAGCCGCTTACCATCAGGCGGGCCACAAGCTTGTTTTCTACCGTTTTAACAAAAAAAATGATTACTAAGTCGTGCAAATATGGCTGAATTGATTACATAGAAGCACATTTTATCAACTAAATTAGGACATACCATAATGTTAGTTCTTGTAGGATGAAAGGGCTTTCAACAAGTCTATTTGAATAAAGTATAATTCTATTCATTTCATAGATAACTTTAGTTATTCATGCGGATGACAATTTTAAAATATTTTTAATGATTTAGTAACATTTGCCATTGCAATGCATTTAAATATTGTGATAAAACTTAAGAAATATTAGAATCTTGAAAACGTACGTCGTAGATTTAAGGGTAGGTTTATTACAAATTACTTTTTCACATCAAAAGATTTTCGATTCATTTTAAAATAACAACCAAAACACAAACCAAATACCAAATGTTGTTTTCAAATATTTTTCAACACAGTTTTAAAGTATTATTATTATTTATGAGTATGCATGATCTAGTAAATCACAGGCCTAAAGTCTGTATCTGAAACAATGTTTCATCACCTATGTTTATAAACTGTATACAGAGATGATGCAACATCGTAAAACACTGTTTATAAACAGTGTTTATACACAAATGAATACGCGGCTTTACACTGCTTAGATAAATCCTGCTTTATCTGAAATGGTTTTTTATAGTAAAACCAAATTTTACTCGGAATACCGTTTCCGCAAACCCTTAACCGATTACGACACACACCCCACTCAGCGTTCGCTTCTCACCGGAACCACGTCACAATCACGACTTGCTCTGAACTAGTTAAACGAATGAGTGGCGTCACGTCGTCTAAATGAATTATTGTTGGCTTTATGGGGAACATAAAACGATGAGATCGGAGGCAATCAGGCGGCACCCGCGGTGTAGAAGAGTAAAAAGGTGCCCAGAGCAGTGGGGGGTCAACGTGGCAGCGCTAAACGCCTACTCGGGGCACCCGCTTTCCAACCCATTTCAATTAGTAGTGAATGGCTAAGGTAACAAAAGGACTGTTATAAGCAACTCTCTGGATAACATTTTGCAAGACGCAATTTCATACTTTCGAATGTTTTTGC